GGTAACGCTGCCCTCTCATTCATTGATCTGCTAACCGCATGTTACGCTCACACGTTCTGATAATAATAGCTTTCTAGGATAATTGGTATAAAAAAATAAAAAAATCTCTTAATAGCCCTACTGTTAGACCTGAAAAACTAAAAAGCAATTTATTTAATTTGTAGGACTGTCGTTATTTTTTTTGTGCTATCATTAATTTCTTTATTTTGTTCTTATTTTATTACGGACTGCTTACTTGTCATTTTTTATTCAATTCAAAGTTTGAAATCAAGCTCTCGCGCGCTACTGCACCAAAATTAGCCCACTGTAAAATCAAAAATACACTGAGTGAGCAAACATTGAGATAGTTTAAGTTATAATGGTAATTAAACAATGTTTACATTTGAATAAAAGCCTACATGAAAATCTGTCATATAAATTGGTCTCTTCATTAGAAATTAGCCTCCTGATTGCCACTATGGACAAAAAAATGTATAATATAAAAAATATGACATTATATTTGAATACTGTGAATTTTGTTTACTGTGGAGATGTGCTGAAATCGCGTTTGGTCTCGTACTGTATCGCGTACCTTGTCAGTGTCGTGCGCTTTGCTTGGCCATTTGTTGGGATAAACAGGAAAGTGTGTCCAGCTGAATTCAATTTGAGTTTTGTTAAACGAATTAAAAAGAAGCTTAGTTTACAGCGGAAGAGGTCGCGGCTGTGGTCGTGTGAAGACCGAAGAGTGTAAAGACCATCGACTCCACCATGCAGGACCCCGGCAAAGGACATAAGTATCGCTTTTTCTCTCTCCTCTTTCTACTTCGGTTTCAGTTTTTTATAATCTAGTTCTTACTATGTGTCAGTAAGTTGTTGTTATTTTAGCATGTGTGTTTGCCTCCGTGTTCTTTTTTTAGGATTACTGATGAACTAATGTACTTTGATTTGTATTAGTTATCTATTTTAGTTTTAGTTACAGTTGTAGTAATGTTGTCATTTTATTCTTTTTTTATTATGTCTATATAGGCTTTTTATTAAGTTTTACTTTTATTTTGAGTTATTTCAGTACTTCAACATACAAAATGGAAATGAAATAAATATATATATATATGTATTTATATATATGTACATGTATGTGTGTGGCTGTACATACACATATGTAGTTGTTTTTTGG